CCCCCTCCCATCGGCTCCCCCGCCTCGCGTCCCGGCGCCGACCCCGCTGAACCTCCGGGACTCCACACAGCTGAAATGAGATCTTTCCATCATACTGACTACTGAAATTCCGTTCTAAAATCGCTTCGTCTCCTTGAAATATGAGCTTCCTTTTTTTACGCCCTCCCTCTTCCTTTTCCTCTCAATATTCATTTTCCGTATTTTTGTATTTTTCCCTCCCTCTTTTTTTCGTTTTAATCCGTCTCTTCCTACGCGAAAGCTTCGTTTGTGAGCGTACGTCACAGAGGCGGAATCACTCCTGGCGAAATCCTGATTTCTCATTTTTTGTGGTTTGAATTTTTCCCGCCTTTAAAGTGATTTAAAAGAGGATGAAACATATCAACCTCTCATCATGCGTACCTACTACCGAGAGAACCAACAGGTTGATCTTCCACTATCAGTCAAACTTTTGCTGGTTACCCATCTTTTCACTAAAGTAATAACGTTCCTCTAAACTTTGCGATTGTAACAAACATATGCTTCATCTGAACTAACTTACAATCAAATGCACAAAAATTGTTGTCAATATTGTGACGACTGCTATAGCATTAAAGTTCGACTGAAAGTATTCTGGTTCAAAGTTCTTTAAAAAAAAAAAAAAAAAAAAAAAAAAAAAAAAAAAAAAACCTTGAAATCGGGAATATTTCATATTAGAAAAATAAGGTCTATGCAAGATGGAGGATTTAAACGCAAGCAGATATCAGAAATGTCATCTTCACAGGAAGTGGATCAGTGTGTCAGTAGGAATATGTCAAAAATGGATCATCTGATCCGCTTTTTCACTTTACTCTTCCTGATAACATTTGTGAATGATACTCAAAACTTCCTCGGTGGAAAATGTTCTGAAAATTGCCTGAAGATATCACTGTGAAAAATGTAAGGAATACATTCCGAGGCAAGTCGTTTAAAGGTGTTTCGCAAGTTGACAAAGACCAAGAATAAGTCTTAATATTACTGAACTCGGACAAAAAAAAATTATTTGCTCCATATGAAAAGACTCCATAAGGTGCGTTTTACATAATCTATCACAATTTGATTCTAGTGTGAGAAATTTGACGAAAATTAGTTTTTAAAGGCAAAAGTGATCCCAACAATTTCAGAGGATTTGATACTAAGCATTTAGTGCTTCCTGTACTTATCCTAGCTCATATTAAAGAATCGAGTCCTATCGTGTTCAACTCATACTCAGAAGTCAGAGGTTCGCAGTCGATTTGAAACAACTTGAAAATTTTAATTTATCGCACTTTCAAACAAAAAAAAAGTTCCCAATATGTATGGTAAGAACCAAGAATAGACATAGCAATAGATAAAAACATACTTAAAAAGTGTGCTCGCCATGCATGGCCCTCGTTCTCGAATCTCCGCACTTAATTTTTGTACGATTGTCCTCCGAACAAACCGTCGTCCTCCTGATACAAAGACATAACTACACCTCGAGATGAACCGTGGTTGCCCATATACCTATGCTCAATGCTTTCCTGAGCTCACCTCTAAGTGTACTTACGTCCTTTCGTCAGCAAAGCGACGAAACAGTGCACTGAAACCAAGGCAGTTTCGAGGGCATCGCGGCTGTGCATCGCAGTAGATAAACCCGTGGCTGAAATAATTGCGCGAGTTGATACGATGACAATTGTCACGGTCTTGTCTCGCTATTATCTCTAGGATGCGATTCCCATCCGAAGCACTTCACCCAGCGCAGCGCCCATCGCAGCGAAAACGCACGCATGGAACCGAGACGGACCTGGGACCTCGCTAGGCGCCGGCGCGAGGTTCCCCCGTCTTTTTCGAAAATCCTGCGAGGTTTTGCGGTTGGGACCGCTGCGCTGCCGGGCTGAGGAAAAACCTCGTATGAACATCCGAAAGTTGCCAAATTTCCTCTCACAAAACAGTTATTTTTGAAGAACGTTATCAATATTTTTCCTTGAAATTTTCATGGATTTTAGATCAAAATACAAACAAAATTCTCTGAAAAATTGGAAGAAAAATATTCGTAAGTTTATCAGGGAATTCATGTTTTATCAAAGACAATTTGGCAACACCTGGAGGTTCATACGTCGTTTTTCCTTAGCACGGCAGAAGGGGGCTCCGGGGCGGCACGTTCCAAGCGCTGCGGTGTGCCGTACCGCGCCGCGCGCCGTGCTGCTCTGCGGTTTGCGTGCATTCATTAATCGAATTACTCATCAGCTACTCCAGCGGCGGGCCTGTCATTATGCACAATCTCTCGGAAAGTCAGCCCGAATAATCATCACTCCCCACCCCCGCCCCCCTCCCGCCCCCGTCGGAAGAAAAAATTTCCCAGCCCCCTTTTTCAGCGCCCTCGAAAGCTCCGATGGTAATCTACCGCGCTGAGGAGAAACGCCGTATAGGCATTTGGACGTTGTCAAATTTTTTCTGATAAAATGTGAACTTTCTGGAATTTTGTGAATTTTTGAATTGAGTTTTTAAGACTTTTGATCTAACCTTTTGGGAACTTCGACAAAATACTTAACACTGAAAATCGGATTTTTGGACCCCTCTCCCGCCAGCAACGCACCCGTTACGCGGGTCTGCACTTCCTTGAAAAATCACTAAGTGCTCCTCTGTTCAACCTCTTCACGTGTACATTGAGTCATTCAAAGCGGCCGGACATAATTTTTTCGACTGAGACCGCAAATTTAAATGTTTATCTCTTCAAATTTTAAAGTTTGAGGGGTGCTTTTTGATAGAAATTTTACGAGGAAATCAATGAGGTCATTTTCAGACCTCATCATTTTGTAATAATGGAGATGTGAGCTTTCAAAGTTTTAACATTTTGTCCGAGTACCATCTCGCGTCGATTTTTCATCTTAAATGTTCGATAGATCAGCATTACTTTGGAACAGAGCCTTGGACTACCCCATCTTCCTGAAATGTACTCGTAAAGTAGACTTTAACTCCCTTGCCCCACATTTTTTAAACAGGCTCTCCACCTATTTTACCAGAATATTTCGAGGGAAGGGGGATTCTCCTTTTTTTCTGAAATAACTATTTATCAGTGGAAGATTTAGCAACAGTCGGACCTTCATACGGCGTTCTTCCATAGCACCGCAGTAATGGTAATAAATATTGTGGTTTGGCGGGAATTTAAATAGAAATCTTGTCATTGTTTACAGTGCCACTCCGCATTTGCCGAATTTCACACCACGCTGGCTGATACCTCGAAGGTTTTTCGGATTTTTCGATGAAGTTAGCCAACACTGCGACCTTTTTACCCCGTGCGTCATGGTTTCCTCTGTGATCGCGACGGTTCCGCGCCTAATACCGACAATAACCATAGGTTTGGCGCGGAATAACCATCATAATGGTGCCAGTCACTATCATCATGTTTGCAGAAACAATTAAGCGTACAGAGCAAGACTGGTATGGATCTAGTTGGAGGTGGCTGCTGTCTGGGCCTCTGATGGCGCGAACCCCGTTTCCCTATTCCACCGTCTTTTTACCTCGCAGATTGCCCCCCCCCCCTCTCGTCATTTCCAGGGGGGGCTGTAAATCCAATTTCAGTTTGCGATTATTCTAACTTTGAGCTTCCTGGAGTTAGGTACCGTTATCTGCGGTTACCAACCACTTCTATTGTTCACGATCACTATTTGACACCAGAAACTGAGGAAAAATATGGTAATTTAGTCTCGAAAAAAGTTCTTTAGATTCAAGGTTGGGGCAGCCATGTGAGTGTGCTACATTTTGAAAATGAGTCCTGTGGAAATTCCACGTTTGCTATATTCGACTATGGGTTGAACTTTGAGAGTTACCAACGTTTTTGTGGTTTGATAGGTTTTTCAATATTAAAGAATGAAAGATTGAAATTAATCTTATGTGCATGGAATTTTTTCCTAGAGTTTTCGGAAGAACTCAGGATCAACGGGAGATTGCCAATTTTTTTATTCAGTTACTTATTCACTGATTCGAAAAACTCGACTTTCATTCAGTTCATTACTGCTTTGTATTTTTATAACACAAAAAACGTGTGTTTTGAAGATTTCAGTAAGAAAGAATAAACTTAATTTAAAGGAGCTAGCAAATCTAGCGAGAAACGGGTTTGTGCTTTTGTTGACTCATATTTCTTTGTTACTTTCTTGTATTTAAATCGTTCGAATGTAAAGTTGATATAACATTCTAGATGTAAAAAAAAGTGTGCGAGAACTTATAAAATGCTAAATTACCCGCCGCAACAATTAATTTTACGTCTTAGTGGCATTGCTAAAGTAACTGCTGTAGCGGGCGATTCAGCATTTTATTAGTTCTCGCACACTTTTTTGCATCTAGAATGTCAAATTCGCCTCACTTTTTTTCGGTGAACGTATTTTTGAATACTTAAATGTGAGATAATTCTTCACCTCAATGTTTATTTTTTAAAAGATGGACTATTCTTCTTTCCCACTCGTGGCTAACGCTTTAACGCTGCTCCTATCTTTCAAGATCTTGGATTTGACATTTACGCTTCATGATTTCCAGATCCTTTCATTCTCTCAACCATTCGGAGACTTTTGAAATGAAAAGAAGACGTGACATACTTAAAAAATTCTTCAGTCTCGAAAAATACTACATATTTAAAAAAGGTGGTTAGGGCTAGGTGGTTAGGTAGTAGGTAAACCTATTTTTTATGAGGTTTTCGCTAGTATGGGAAAATCCATACAAAAAATATTAGTGACCGATACCTCGTAAAAAACTGCATTTTAAAAAAGGATATAGGTATTAAAGTAAAGTAGAAAAATATCTACCATAATTTTTCTCTTATTTTTCCGTGTATTTCCTATCTTACCACGTATGGTCGTAGCCACGAGTTTAGATGTTGTTAATCTTAGTTTCAGACCCAACTCAGTGACTTGGAAAGTACACAATTTTTTTTTTTTTTTTTTTTTTTTTTTTTTGTTTTGTTTTTTTAACAGTAAAGATGATACTTTAAGGAGGTGTTCCAAAAAGGAAGTGAAAATAATAATACTTCATTTTATCATTTATTTATGTTTATTCTTTATTATTACATAATGCAACAAAAATTGAAACATTCAAAATTGGATGAATCTCTTAATTCCTGTACAAGTCATCACATGATGAAACTAACTCAAGAGCACCAGGTACACACATCGGACAACATAACAGATTGCGCTTATTTTTGTTTGTTGCACAACCACCCAGAGTGCGTAGCCAAACAAATTTAAAATATTAGTTTAAACAAATGGAATCGGAGGAGTTGATTAAAAGAATTACACGCACAATGATCTCTCTTCAATCTCAAACACTCTTAATTCAATTAAACGAACCAAGCTATTTTTCTGTCTCAGGCTCTTCAGGTTGTATTAGAGTGTCGCCTTTTTTCACTAGACCTAGGTCATATACATTTATGCTCTTCAAGAGCTTTGAGAGATCAAATTACGCCAAATTTTAATTATTCTTCGTGGATCAAAGATTTCAATATCGTACCAAATTTGTCTTCTTGATGAAACATGATATCAGGAGCGGATATTTGTTCAACAAATACAATAGTCTACAATTTATTTTACAAAAAATGCGAAAATAAATTACTGTATAATAAGACATCTTGAAGATTACTATACGTGATTTGATAGTCAACCTACACCACATAAAATAATTTTGAGGAGGGAGAAATAATACAAATGAAATAAACATTTGGCAAGGTACAAAAAAATAATAAATAAATAAATTCACCGATTCACGTGAATAAAATTACAGCGCCCCAATAGGTAAGAAAAATTGCATTGAGAGGAAAAAATATAAAAAATAATGAAATAAATGAATAAAAATCATAGCTATTGTACCTGAAAATACGAATCTATGGATATTTATTTATTTACAAATTCAGCTTCATCCCAACTCTAAACACATTATCGCATAACTATTAGCATAGAAGCCATGGACTATAATTCTTTTACTTTATTCTTTTTCATTAAAAAAAAAACAACAGAAGAGAGAGAAACAACAAGATGATCTCATCAATATACTTTCGCTTCATGCTTTCATAATCTTATGGGATTATTCGGGGATTTATAATATTGTGATGTTATATTCATAAAAGAACTATGGTCAAAAAAAATTAAGTGTGCCCCAGAGCACATTGCAAGAACTCAGGATTGGTGAAACTCGTCTTAACTTATTACAAAGAAGTTCATTATGATTGGGATTTGGTTTTTTTGTAAAAGAAGGATTAAAAGGAAATATTTTCGGTTATCGATCTCCACAAAAATGGGAAATTGACTGTACTTTGGTAAAATCATTGGCATTCTGGAATTGAACAAAATTTGGTTCTTTTTTGAGTGCGTAATATCCATTACACTATTCTTTACGGGCATACTTTAGTAAATATTTATCTTTCTGAGCACACACGGGGAAGTCCAGTGCTTTCGGCTTTTAACCTTCCACGATCTTAACTTTCAGTCAAGACATTCCAGCTCGGCCGTGTCAAATCTTGAACAAACTTTAAGTGAGAACAAAAAGAAACTGCAAAAGTCTTAGAGTTGAACTTTGTGCTTTGTTTTAAATGTAAGATTCATTTACAAATTGCATTTATTACAGAACATTCAAATTATTCACAAATTTTACGCTACTTTACATTTTCAACAACATCATTTTTACAATTATCATACTTTTTCGTGTCCGTTCGTGAGCGACTCTCTTTCACAGAGAAATTATGCTGTACACGGCGCTTATGCATTATTTACACACTTTTAATGCTGTACATACTTTATTCTTAGATTTATTTTGGAATTTTCTTATTCCTTGATGGACGCAATACCATGTGCATGCTAAACAATAGCTTTCGGGCAGTCAGTCTTTATCACCTCTTGTCCACTTTCAGTATCTAATATTTTAAAAAAAACTTTTCCTTGGGAACAAATTGCTTGATGGACGGAGTGGACTTTTTAAAAAAAGGCAACTTCACAAGAGAAAAGATATTTTAGAGTGTAATATGCATGCTTATTCCTGCTTTCAAACTCTGATTGATCTATTCTGTTGTCTTTCTGGGAACAACACATTTAAGGAACTTGGAAACTCACATAAAAGCATGCGTAATTCGAAAACTATTCCTGAATAAAGTTGAATATATTTAGCATATTTATTCTGTTAAACAGAAATGTAGTGATTATGAGCCTTTGAACCTGTGTCTTTGATATGATCATGGATCTTAGGGCTTAATAAACATCATGGTACTCACGTCCATCATATCACTTCATTGTCAATTTAAAATTAAAAAGTCATGATAAGAGAAACAAAATTATGTGGGCATAAATCCCCTCAATGACCACCGGTCAAATTTTTTTATCAAATTGTTTGACACCAAAGCCGTTTGAAAAGACGGTTTCAAACTATACTCTGAGCTAAGAGTACTTTAATTTCTTTGCATCATTTGATCTTAAAAGAGAGAAGAGTGAGACTTATGAGCAACACGAATATTTTCTCTGTCTTTATTTCTTCATTTTGCGACTCAAATAGATACAGATTTTTATCCAGTGAAATTTTGCTGAGTGATGTAAAACGACAAACGCAAGGGCTTTTTTGACAACATAACTTTGGTGACAGAGCAATGTGAGTGGGTAATTAAGAGAAACTCTTTAGAGGTATTCCAATCTCGCTCGGTGTAAGTGATGAGAGGAATAAAAATTAGGATAAACCATCCAGCAGAGTCACTCCTTTGCAGGAAATATTGCAAACTTAACAAAGAATGATACAAAATAATACATTAAGCTACAGACATAAGCCCGTGTCACACAAGCGATCTCGATATTAATAAATTGATACCAAGAGCGGTCGCCCGACATTGGCTGTGCGGCTCACGTGGCGCGGTAAAATTTGAACGCAACCTCTGCGCACGCGCTGTGGCACGAGATACCCTGATAACAGAGCTGCCGATTTGCAAAAATTTTGATGTTTACCAGTGAAAATAGGCAAAATTTCACGCGAAAAACGGCAACACTGCTTGATGAGGACTGGGAGTCCTGTCGCTGGCCTCAAGAGAACAACGGCGTATGGCACTTGGAGTGGAGTCCCTGTCACTATCACCAAACGAGGCCTTCATTTTGTAACTGTTGAGAATCCGGAAATGCACCATTGCCCCCTGTGAACAAAGACGGAATAAAATGATAAGACAAGCGAGCACATATTACACTCTTTTCCTGGAGTTCATTCTTAAAGCATTTTAGACAACTCATAACGAAAATCATAGAATCTTGTGAGATGGGCTCAGAGGAAATGTGCCTCAGGTGGATATTCAATAGTCCAGCGGAGGAAAAGAAAAGAAAGAAAAAGAAAAAATAAATACCCCGATTTGAGGTCAAAAATTCTGATGGGATTGCATGGGCGGATCCAAGGAGGGTGGGCGTAGGGGATGTGCGCCCTTACTCCGCGTTCGCCCGCAAAAAAACTAGGAGGAAAAAGGGAAGGAAGAAAGAAGGAAGGAAGCTTATATTTAGTAATTATTCATGACGAAATCGACTCAACCTGCATATTGAAGGCTTTAAACTTTCGAAAATTTTCTTGGAAAAGCCTGCCGGGGGGACCTTCCTCCCCCCCCCCCCCCCCCGGTTCGAAAAGTCTGGATCCGCCGATGGATTAAGGATGCATAAATAACCAGCCAAGCTGCGGTATAGTTGTCTCAATTTTTTTCCCACCGTAAGGCCTATTTTGTACGAATCCATCTAATATGTTACATCATTTTCCTTATGCTCATTTCCGAAGCCTTTCTGACAAGTGAGCTTGAAGATCAGGAGCTATCAATGCGGTTTGGTCATGACACCACGTGGAAATTTTAGATAGATGGGGGGGGGGGGGGATCGATCGT